TACAGTTTAATTTAAGTGACACTTGATACAGAGATTCTATTCGTTAAATAAAGGTACAAATAAATATAAAACAACCCAAATATAACAGAACTTCACAATATTTTTTTGGTTATTTGAGGTAGTATTGTTTTAATGTGCAAATAACCTAGAAATCTAAAATTAACAATAGAAAAAATGTGCAAACAACACTTGCATTTAGTATTCCATGCCAAGTTAGTATTGTATCTGGATTCAGCGTTTGAGTATTGATCCTTTTCAGAGTGTCAATACTTTTGACAACCCAAGTGATTGCACAACATATAATATAAATATAAATCATTTGTTAAGTAGATGCAAAGAATGATGTATTGTTATACATTATATTTTTGTATTCAGCCCCCAACGATCTGATCATCCTTAATGATATCAAGAACAAATGATATCCTTAAGAAGTACTTTAAAAAACAGGACAACAGTTCAGAGTAGATGGAGCTAAAAACTGGAAGATCCTGAAGGTAAAATGTTGCAGGCTGCAACAGACTTGAGGCTGGGATGGCTGCCCATCGTTCAGCAGGCATGGTCCCTTAACATACAACTAGAGCAGGGGTCTGCATCCGATCATATCCAAAGAACATTTTTGCCCTGAGTCCGGCCAAGTACAAGTTGTTTAGAACCACAACATTTTACATGAATCTTTAATAAATCATATCCTTTTATTTTTGTTAAATATCTAACATGGGAAATCTGTTGTCATCTTAAACAAACATAAGTATATTTGCATTTTAAGCTTTTAAAATAAAGAAAAACATAAAATTATTCATAAAGCTAATGCACTAATTTTCTCCTACAGGGTATTATATTTAAGTAAATGATAATAACATAATTTCCAAGCAAATTAAAAGAAATTATTTTCTATTCTTTCAATGTCATTCTGCTGTGAAATTGCAATTCAAATACTCTTTATAAAAAAACACTAAAGCTTCTAAGACAGGTATTTTCTTTTGTAGTACATTAGTTACTTCTTTGTATCATTTGGCCAAGAGTCAGATGTAGCTCTGGAGCCGCAGGTTGCAGATCCCTAAACTAGAGCTACAAATGAAATGGTTATAGCTGACACGTGTGTCAGAATGGCCAGGTAAAAGTCCATATCTAAATCTTTTTAAAAAGTGAAATGACATTTCAAGTTACATCAAATCAGAAAGAGTTGATTCTATTTTAAACAAGGAGTTTATGGGCCCTTGATGTGCAAGGCGGACAGACAGAGACTCCAAAAGCCTTTAATTAGGTTGAGTGATGGCGAGAGTTGGTTGTATAAAGTATTGGCCCAAGTGTGATAATTACTGATGTACTGCAGATTTTTCATTCCAGAAATCCTAATTAAATCCATTAAAGTGTGTGGCTATAATGTGGTGACATTTGAAAAAATGTAAAGGTTGTTAAAATGTTTGAAAAGCCCTGTAAGTAAGTTGTTCAACTCTTTTAAACCAGTGACTGCTATAAACCGGTTACACTCATCTGCTCTCACCTTGATCACAAATTTTTTGTTTGTTTTTCATCGGTAACATTCAAGCGTATTTGGATAGATTGGAAAAAAAAACATAAAATTATTCTTAGAAGGCAGATGATTTAATCCTTGTCTTTTTCACTAATCTAAACCTTTTTCACAGTCATTTTTGGCTGCGTTACTCTTTGAGGTTATGAAAGCCTTGTTTGATCAGTGAATTTGACCTCAACTATCAAGCACAGGTAAAAAAAAAAATCTGTATCAATATACGTAAATGATGCAACTATTTAGATGTTTTAAAATATTTCTTATTACTGATAACGTATACGGTATGTATTTTTCCAACTTCTTATATTTTTAAGTAACATTTCCAAATCCCTTGAAAAATAATTATACAAACACATGCAAATAAAAGTTGTTGTTTTGTTTGTTTGTTTTTTGCTGACCCATGAATTGGGTAATATCATCAGGTACTTTTGCCCTTTAGTTAGAGATAGGTATTTTGAGTCCAACCTGAGAACAGTTCGGGTCATTTTGAGCTTTCCTTCCGTAGTGCCTTTCTGCAGCACTAGTTTGCCAATAGCCAGGTCTCCCTTGAGGCGCTGCATGTAGGGACTTGTGCTCGCCTTTGCAACATCGTGCCATGTTCCCAAAAACTGTCAGGAAGAGTCAATAGACATACAAAAAAACAACAACTTACTACTAGAAAATCAACATTCAGATAAGTTATTGTGAAGACTTCTATATTTCTATACTGCAAACCAAAACATAAATCATTCATGTATTCTTTTTTTGCTTTTCACTTTCTATCTTTAATATTGAGAAGAAACCTTTTTATTGCCTGTATTGTTTTGCTCTCGAATTTGAAGGATCAAATTATCGTTTAATTCCTCAAATATTATTTAGAGCAAAAAAAACTAAAAACGACACAAAACAATTTGAGATAAATCTGCCTCCTTGTTTTTCCCTTTTATAATTAACCGTAATATTGCTATCAGCTACGTTAAAGATGAACAGTCTTGCGAAACTAAAGAGTTTTTTTTTCTTACCTTGGTCAGATCAAATTTCTCCTGCGTGTTGTACAGAGGATCTGGGAGAACTGGGAGCCCCTGGAGACAGTTTATACATCCCAACACCAGAAAAGTCCCCAGAACCACAAATCTCTTCATCTTGTCAGAACTTTGTTACCACTTATCTCTAACCTTGTCCTTTAAGAGTACAACAGAGTGACACCTTCTCTGGACTGATGAGAACGAGTCTAAACATTGACCTGTAAAGGACTGTGAGCACAATCACTCCGACAGCCCAGCTTCCAAAAACACACAAACATGTAAAGGAGCAAAGTTCTGTCTTTGTGTTTATCTCAGTTTTAGTTTGATTTACCAGCACGGGCTATGAACCACTCAAACATTGGACTTCAGAGCTGCTGCAATATTGGCAGATCAATACATTTATTAATAAAAGAAATAGGGAGGTCATGTCTATGAGGATTATTATGAATCTATGCTTACATACGTGGCTGGATTTTGCATGCAAGCATAGATTTATTTGGCCCCCCAAAAATATTCCTGCATTTCCTAGTGTATTTTCACAGTTTGGCTAGACAATCTCCAAGAACTATTGATATATTATGTTATTTAGTTCTCCTATGGGAAAAAATTATTGCAGAATAAAGCCAGTAGATTTAAAGAATCATCTAGCAGGAATATTTGCAGAAAGTGGCCTGATTCATCCATACATCATTGTTGTTCCTAAATAAATTGCAAGGAAACATTTTGCTTTTGTTTTTCACTAAAAGGTTTCAAATGAAAAAGAGATCTATATGAGTTGGTCTGATGCAGTTTAACATGAAATTATTTCTAGATAATGGCTTCAGCTTTTCAGGCACCTAGATAGGCTTGTTTCCAGAAGTTACAGCACCTCCTGCTGATCAAAAAGGGAGAATGCTGATCAAGTCAAATTAAAAGCTCACTGCCTCACTGCTCACTGCCTTTTGAAATGTTTACTTTGCTTCAATGTTACAGAAACGCAAACTAATAATCACAACCCTGGAACTCTTGCATTTTATCATGAACAACAACATGAAACTTCTCTGTATGTATTTAGATGGTGGAGGTGTGGAATTACACAAAGATTCAGATAATTGTGATGGGGTATATGATTGATTCTCAAATGGTTTAAAGAAATCTGAAAAGTGTTGCATGCCTTTCTATTCCTTCAGCTCTCTTTTCCCTGCTAAGAAAAAAAAAAAAAAACACCTCTGGTAGCCAGATGCTGCCAGTGTGTGTTATTATGCTGGCAGGGTGTACCGATGCAGTAATGTCAGAAAGTCTTATGTCCATGCTTCACTTTATCTTTTTTTAATAAATAAAAAGTTAATAAAAACTACACAGTACAATCTTTCTTTCACATGTTTTCTGTTGCCTACATGGTAAGCAGAAAATAGGACTTGATGATTTATTTTATCAGCAGTCACCGTTTTTCATAGGCCAGGTTAGTTGAGCGTATAGCTAATAGTTGTTCTATTAAGAAGCTCTGCCACCAGAATTTTTTTTTTTATCTCTGCAGCTCCGCTAAACTTATTTAATGTCCTTTTAAGTTTTGTCATAATCTCTCTATAAAATATTTAAGGGTACAACATTACAAACAAAAGAACATGCATGACTTTTGTCAGCTTAAGTTTCTGAACACACTGAAGTTTGTGGTTGTAATCAGAAAAGATGCAAAACATTTTGATCGGCCACACTTATATTTTAAAATTACAGTATAAATCAATTAATATATTTAATCAATATTTTTTCTTTATCATTAGTGAAAAGTGACACGCAGTTAAATCACGATTTATTATGAGATTGATTAGAATTGACTAAATTGATTAAAATTCAAGTGAAGATTGTTTATATGGTGTGCCAAGCAATAAGGAGTAAAAAGATTTTTATATATATATATATATATATATATATATATATATATATATATATATATATATAATCTGTCTGATGGTTATTCATTACAATTATTCATGCAACACATTACAGGATGAAATATTTTCTCATATCTGTTGCTTTTGACATCAGCTGACCAGCACACATGCCAGGCAATGCATGACTGTCTTTGCTCCTGCAAACCATAAATAAAATAATCTAAAATTCCACCAAGGAATGGCAATGCCATCACTCTTCTTCAATGAAACTCATCTTCACAGTTGCTGTGATCTTCACATCTGCCAGCTGCACCATCATTCTGTGTGTTCAGCTTTATCCATTTAGCTCCACAGAACATGAGATAGTGAGTTATGTTACATTTAAAAAAAAAGATTCAAAGTTTCCACAAAGAGGGAAAGCATATATTGTGAGCAACAAAAAACTTGTTTCATAAGACCTTGTATTAATGCAGCAATAATAGATAAATTAATTTTAGATCATTCAAACTAATAGTTTTTTATTACTGTAGTTAAACCTTTTTCATATTTAGTTCCTCTGAAGTGTTTCTTATATCTGGTGAATAAAATCTTAATGGTCATCTTAATTTTTCCTCATATAATCTCTCACCCTTTAACATAAAAACATACTTTTATGCATATTACTGCAACAACACCAAATACTACTTCATATTACTACATATAATCGTTATGCGTTTTAATTCAAGACAACCATTGAGTTGTTTAAAAAGTTACTGACATACAAAATAAATACATACATACATACATATATTATCATATCATTAAAAAGATACAAAGAAAGACAAAATAAAGTAAAAAAAATGTAAATCCTATTTTGATAAAAACAAAAAACGACAAAAAATAAAACAAGAAATAAAAAAAATGATGAGATACATAAAATAAAACACTATGTTCTGTTCAAACAAAATCAGCTGCTTCACTGCGTTCTCACTGTGGAACTTTCAACAGCCAAAGTATTGGAAAATCTAAAGCAAAGAAAAACGCTTTATGAAGATAAGATACAGACTTTGTTATAAAAAAGAAAACAGAGAAATTGAAAGACTGCACTCCATTATCAGTAAAAATGTAGTTAATGGCTTTTACTCATTAGGTTGTTCATTGTTCTTTTCCTCCTACTGCTGTGTTTCATGTAGAGTCTCTAACATCCCGGTCAAATGTGAACCAATGTGGCAAATTTCTACCACTGACCCATTTGTCACCTGGTCAGACATCACCTTGCTTCTCCTTTGCAGAAATATTCAGTTTGGAGTTTTCATGAACAAAAACCTACAGAAACAAAAACAACAGAAAAGCACCTGTTATTGGTAATTACTGGATTAAGATGTGTGTCACATAATGATCCATGGTGCAACTACCTGATGGCTGGTAGCTGCCTCCTTCCATTGTTCAGGTGGAAAACAATTCCCTGGGAAAACAAAAAGAAATTAAACCTTATTGAACAGAAACATTGGCCTTTCATTCTTACCTTTAAGACAAAATTAGGAAAAAAATGCAATGAATGCTTCAACAAAACTAGAATACAGAGAAAAACTAAAACATAGAATATAAGCAGTATAGCACAAAATGCATAGCTTTCATTGTTATTAATTCATGCAATATCTTTCAATGTAACAGTGTACAATGTAACTAAAAACAGTTGAAAAGGGAACAAAGTGTCAAGAATACCTTCATGTTGATTTATGATAATAGCCTCTTCACTCAGTCCATGATGTCTGATGAGTTCTTTAAATTTTTCCAGAACAGGAAGATTAACGCTTACAGTTCGACCTGAGAAAGAAACCGTTTAGTGCATTTCTCTTTCAACCAGAGGTGTCAAGTAACAAAGTACAAACACTTTGTTACCCTACTTAAGTAGAATTGTTGGCTACCTATACTTCACAGGAGTAATTATTTTTTAATCTCATTTAAGTTGATTTTCGTTATGGTCTGTTGAAATTAAAAAAAAGATGAAAATGATAAAAAACAATCAGACAATTAATTTCTTTGTGATTGTACCAACTTGTGGTCCCACATACAAACATAAATAGTTTTTCAAGGTGATGCAAAGTTAAATTTGAAACTGTTGCCATTAGTTATAAAACTAAAAAAAAAAAATTATTGTAAGGAAGTTACCATCCAGAATTGTAGAAAGAATTTTCCTTTAATTGGGTAAAGTGGCCCCTTAAATGTTTTTTCCTTTACTTTTATAATTTAAAAAGTTTTAAAAAAGGTACTTGAACACTTTTACTTGAGTAAAAAGCTTAAGTTAATACTCTTAACTTCTACAAAAGTGTTTTTGAACAGTAGGGTTTTTACTTCTACTTGAAGAAGAAAAATTTATACTTTTGACACCAATGACTTTAACAAAGAAGAATAGAAATAGTTTAAAGACTCATGTGTCCTGCCTAGAGGGTCCTGTTATTAGCCTGTTTCTGCCTAAATGTATTTACAAAAGTAGACATTGTGGTTAAATATAGCATAAACCAAACATAAATTTAGGTGTGCTGTGTGCAAAATAGCTAAATTTGACATAGTTTGTTATAAAGAATACTGCTGGACAGCACAAAAGCTCTTTCCATATGGCGGTAAAATAGGTCTGAGTTAGATATGAGCTTTGCGCAGAAGTCAGTGACTTACTGTAAAGCTTGACTATGGTGGTTTGATTTCTTGATGGTTTCTCTGTGCTCAGCTGCAGCAACAGAGCGTATTCATTATAGTTGGTGTGAACGACGAAGGAATCGACATCTGCTCCAAATCCTGCAGAGGGGAGGTTACGTTTGAGACCACTGGTACCGCTTCACAAAAATAATTAGCTAAAGCATAGTGCACCCTCTTACAGTTGCAGGACTACACATTTTAAGAACCTGCCAAAAACATGAGGTCTACAATTATTGAATCTAGCTTCAAATTTACAAAAGCAAAAAGCACATTACAAACTATTATCAGTTGAACAATGAAGGCAAAATGAAAAAAAAAAGCTGTGTGTAAATATATAAGAACACCCTAATGTTTACCTCGTCTTTAGGAGAGAAAGTAGATGTTACAAGTCATAAATGCCAAATTTATATAGCTTGTGGCAAGTAAGGAAAAACATCAGTAACTTAAGTTATTCATTATTCAAAGGCACCTACAAGAGAAATTTAATTGAGTTCAGTACAAAAATATTTTATTAATCCTAAAAGGAAATTGAGTAAAAGAGCTCCCTCCAAGATTATTCTATGAGCAGATCAATCTCAAAGAAATATCCCAAGAGCCATATCTCATATTCCACACATACCAGGTAACAAATTGAGATATTTTAGTAGAAAAAGCCTGAAGAAGTATAATTTAGTTGGAATGAAAATACTCTTCTTTATAAAACGAACAGGGCAAAACAACTTAGGGTTGAATAGCTGCATGTGAATGAATCCCAACACACATGATAGCAGCAGAAATTTTTTAAATCATTGGTGTGATCCAGGTCTGTTTTATAGTCACAGGATTAGAGCACCTTGGAGCAGTAGAGTCGATAAAGAAATAAGCTATATAACCAAAATCTTCAAGGGTCAAACGTGAGACTATTTATTGAGCAGCTAAAGATGAGCCTCGTCTGAGTCACAGACAGCAGAAGGAGCCGAGGCAACGCTGGAAATCAACTCCAGAAATCCTGAAAGGTTTTAACATGAACCTGCAAAGTCCAAACTTAAGCCTGATAGAAATGCAAAACTAGAGCCTGCATACAATAATTAATGGAATCAAACTAAAAGGTTAAAAATGTTCAGTAATAATGTGAGACTCATAAAATCAGACATTGGATATATATTGTGGCTAAAAGGGTGGATATGTAAACTGATGAAGCTTTGGGTGTTCTGAATTTTACACAGGCATTTTTTTCATTTTGGCTTAATCTTTGTTTACTTGATTAAGAAAGCTTGGAATATGTTGAACTATGTTCTACACTTTAGAGTACATTTATTTAATGTTAGAACAAAATTTGTTATGCTCTGCTTTGTAAAATCTTTTTAACCCACTTTACATAAAAAGACTGTAGGGGAAGGTATGCAGAGGGACCTACTTGAAACATGGTGAAAGAATCGCCCTGGAGTGCTGGTCAAACTAAAATCTGTTAATGTCTCCCTACATGTGCCATTACTGAAAAAGAAAACAGTACAGATCATACAAAAAGCTTAACAATGACACAGTATATCAACACAAAAGTCAGGAGTCTGACCTGAAGGTGGAGGCTGTCATTGTAAAGTTGTCCTGAGGAGGGACATGATTCAGTTCCAGCACCACAATGATAGGGTTTCTCTGTTTGCGTTGCATGTAGTGAGGACATGTAGACACCGCAGCTATTTCAAACCACCGTCCTGTAAACTGAAAGGAAGATACACAACCTTGCTCTACATCCAGGCCATCTGCAGGAGAACTGATGTGGCAAATGTAAAAAGTTTTCACAGAGGTGGTTAATAACACAAAGAAAAATCTATTTTAAATAAACTGGCTGTTAAAAAAAAGAAAAGGGAAAAAAATCATACGGTCAAAAAATATTCTGCAATGATAATTCATTAATAAAGAGCAGAAGCAAATAATTACTTACTATAATCCACACCCACCTGTTTCAAATCAAAGTTCTCCTGTGTTGTTACTGGACCCTTTCCCATCACGGGGTCCATCTGGAGGGCCCATATTGATCCGACAAGCACCACTAGAATTAGCAGAAGCACCATCCTTTGCATCCTAAAATATGTGCCTTGGCTAAGTCTGGGCCTTTTCAGGTCTAACCATCAAATGTTTGCTTTTTGAATCCCCATTTTCCCCACCCGCTTTCAAAGACAAAGAGCAAAGGTCAGAGCATCACTATTCCAGTGTTTGTTGTTCAGACTAATCAGAAATAAACCTCTGGACTTCAGAGTTTGAAGCCACCCCCAAACATGTAACCAATCAATATCTGTTAGGTTTTAACAGCTGGTTAGTGGGGAAAAGGGCTGCTCTGCTGCTGCGGGTGAATCTGTAATAATATCATTACAGGCTGCCACGTGCATATCTAGAATCACATTGATCCACTTTGATGAAGTTTAGGATTACAAAAGTGACTGTTTCCAACAAACTGCTTGGTTGACTTGATGTCCTGTACACAATGAAATACGGCATGGTCATATGAAAATTTAAAAAAAATTTTTTAATGCTCTCACTGAGGCAAAGGTTGTTAGATTTAAGTTTTTCAGGCTGGCTGCTGTCTTTCATTAACCTTTCAACATGTTTCTGTCTTAGTCTTAGACAGATTTTATTTGTCATTTTGTTTACACAAGTATAAAACAAAAAGAAATTTCGTTTGGAACAGCTCTCTGGACAATTTCATCTTTTTTTAAAGTGCAGCCTTAAAAAATAGTAAAAATGACTGTAAATATACAGTTCTAACTTTTTTTCTTTATATAATCTTTATAAATATAGTCTATAAGCTTTTGTTCATAAAATGTTTGCCAAGCAGGTATGGGCCAGTAATATTGGTGTAACCAGGTATTAAAGCTTATGGTTTTTAAGCAGATACAATTTCCAGTGTAACCATTGCTGTGATTTTAAATCCTTTTAATAAGATGTGAGAGAAACCAGATTTTTGCATGGCTCTCTGCAGCATTTAATAATGCAATCCTACTTAACCTCTGCTTGTTACTATTTACTGTCAGTCTCCTTCCTTGAGGTGGTGATCAAAGCCTTAAAACACACATGAGCAATTAAATAGTTTTTTTTCTTCCATAGTGCTAAAGAATCCTTCTTAAACCCATGCAGCCAAAACTGTATCTCACTTCCATTAAAGTATAAAAACATATATTCTATAATATGAATCTCACCTTAGAGCTTTAAGGAAATCTGTGATGTTTGACATTTAAAGGTGTTTAACTGTTTTCCAATTGTTGTCCAAGATACTGGATCTTATACTATGCTATAATTGCCCCCTACCTTTAAACTATTAATGTTCAAAGAATATAATTATCCTTTTGTATTTATTTGTTATAAGTCTTGAAAGCGTTCAAACTTTAAAGTGGGGTATGAGCTTTTATTAACACTATTATGCATAAGGTAATCTGATGTCCTTTACATGATGAAAAAAGGAACAAAACTCAAGAAAAGATATCTAATACAGAATATACATTGGAAGAAAAAGAAACATGGGAGAAAATCATGTAAAAGAATAACCCGTAAAGTTAATAACATCTGAGGAAATAAAAAAAGAACATGAAGGAAATGACAAAAAACTTTTATCTGCAAGATGCAGTTATATTTTAGTCCTCATTTCAGTGACCTGAAAGTTCTGCATATATCTAAGGTTTGCAGACAGTTGCATCTGGAGCTGAGGAGTATCAAAACAAGATTTCATTTTTAGTAGTTTTTAGCAAGTCTCAAGTTATTCAATGAAGGTGTTTTAAAGGTGCAACAAGCATCGAGAGATTAAAAAAGACATTTCAGAATGAAAAAAAAACCCTTTAAGAAGGGAAATATTTCTCTGAAAAAATGTCCTGCACACATGCATGCCACAGGCTTCTACACAACCTAAACTATCAAGCAATTAAAGTTAAAATAGTAGATCAGAGGAAATTCCATTTGCTTCATCTGAGAAAAAAAACAAAACAGAAAAGAAACGATTAATTTAAACTTTACAGACATTTACAGAGACGTTATTTCTAGTTTTCTTTTGAAAATCAATCATATTGACTCTCACCTAATGTCCAGATCATGATGCTGGACAGTTCTCTGTTAATGACAAAAAAACAAAAACATTTGGGTAAATTTAAAGAGAACATTTCCAGCCATTAACACACAACTAAAACTCTTTGAATATAATGAAAAAAGTGAAAAAATGTTTTCCCTATTTCCAGGAACTGATAGTCATATATTATACTGATTCGTTACACAGAGTAAAATATTTCAAGCCTTTACTTCATGTACTGTTGATCTTTAAAGCCATAAAAGACCCATATTCACTGTTTCAGAAAAAAAGAAATAAAAAGTATGTAGCGAAAAAGTTTAATATTAATTTTTTACCTGCTGGAGGAGGACTCAAAATAGATGTTCGGGGGAAACCACGGGACAAAGCAAAGGCTTTAAACTTCTGCATCACTTCTATGCTGGTTCTTGGTGAGCGAGCTGTAATACAGAAGCAGATGAGATACACTGACTCATGACATCACATGTGACGCAGATATTAAAATATAAATGTTTGCTTCCTGTATGTCTCTGGAACCCACCGTAAAGCGCCACCTGTGTGTATTCTCTGTTAAAATTCTTGTACTTAAGAACCACAGCGTATTCAGTATAGTTTGTGTCCACTACGGTGATGTCCTTCACAATGCTATGGCCTGGAAAGAAAAATTACAAACAAATTTGTTAATTTAACAGCAGTTGGAAGAAGACCATAAGATTTAAGAATAATAAAAAAAAATCTTTATTGTCATAATAAAAAACGTACTAAAATTTATCTCCTGACTTAGAAGGCACACATACATTAATGTGCTGAAAATTTTTTAAGCATTTGTTGAAAATATAAAACATCCTTGCAGACATGTTTTGGAAATATGACCATCCTCAGAAAAATAAATAGAATACAAAATATAAAACCCCTTAGAAGAAAATGTGTAAAACTTTGGTGGCATAGCAGAGTGTAGATGTTCTTAGAAGGCTTTAGACACCGAGTCTGATCCTCACAGACTGCCACTCTCATTCTCTGAGCAAAACCCTTAGCCCCAGATTGCTCTCCAGATGCTTAAAGCCAAACACTAAGTGATGGGTTAAATTCAAATTTCACATTTAATGGAATTATAAAGACATAAATAAAATAAAATAAATTGCAATGACAAAATAAAGCTTATGTATAAAGCATGTAGATAGGAAGGATTTTCATCAGGGGTGTAGCGTGTGCTGCTACTACCAGCAGTCTAAGAGATTGGTTGATGATCTGTTTCATTCCCAGCAGGAGCATGTGTGTGAACATGTGGGCGTGTGGCTGAAGGAGATTGAATTTGTAAAATCTTTCCCAGAAAAATCAGCTTTTTTCAAGCCTGTTTCTTTGGGATTAAATATTTATGTACCATTTGACTGATGAAGGTGGTGCAATAGTGCATTGACCAGGAATCTGTGCAATGCTTCTGGCCCTTTTCTGGACTGACGTAGCTTGAGGTGAGTTCAGTTCTAGTAGATGTGCTGTCCTCACCACCTGAGTCCATCCTCTCCTGTGCCATGCAGCTCCCAGAGTATGCTGTTACACTTACTCACAGGATGCTTTCTGTTGTCACCACATCTAACCATGCAAGAAGCTGAGAAGATAGTCTGGTCCGTTCCAGCCGTCTAAAAAGAGCGGTTGTTTGGCTTTCTAGGAGTTTCTAGCATGCAGAATAACTTTGTTGTCCATATTCTCTACTGCCTCCCCACGTATGCAGAGAAGAGCCTGTTCTCTGCCTTGGGCCTCTTGTAGTCTACTTAAACCTCCTTGGTCTTGCTGATACTCAGGATAATGTTATTCTTTGAACGTCACTGTGTGAGTCTGTTAACCTCTTTTCTGTAGTAGTTGTTGTTTATGAGAACCATCATGGTGCCATCGTTAGCTGACCCAACACTATACAGGGGCACAATAGGGCACCAAAGAAAATGCGAGCGTGCAAGGCAATTTTTGGGCAATTATTTATTTTAAAAAAGCATGGGCACAGATAATTAATGCAAGCGTGAGCAAATATTTCATAGCACTTATTTACTATTATAAACTTACTATTATAAAGCGTCAAAAATTAATTGTGCAATCAGATTGTTATTTTCCACATCATTAAATATCTACCTGAACCGAACAGAATTGAATTGGCCCACTTGTGAACTTAACTGTCTATCTCTAATCTACTACTGATGAAGGCACAAATTATCTTCATTAAATATCTATCAGAAAAAAAACATACATACATACATACATACATACATACATACATACATACATACATACATACATACATACATACATACATACATACATACATACATACATACATACATACATACATACATACATACATACATACATACATACATACATACATACATACATACATACATACATACATACATACATACATACATACATACATACATACATACATACATACATACATACATACATACATACATACATACATACATACATACATACATACATACATACATACATACATACATACATACATACATACATACATACATACATACATACATACATACATACATACATACATACATACATACATACATACATACATACATACATACATACATACATACATACATACATACATACATACATACATACATACATACATACATACATACATACATACATACATACATACATACATACATACATACATACATACATACATACATACATACATACATACATACATACATACATACATACATACATACATACATACATACATACATACATACATACATACATACATACATACATACATACATACATACATACATACATACATACATACATACATACATACATACATACATACATACATACATACATACATACATACATACATACATACATACATACATACATACATACATACATACATACATACATACATACATACATACATACATACATACATACATACATACATACATACATACATACATACATACATACATACATACATACATACATACATACATACATACATACATACATACATACATACATACATACATACATACATACATACATACATACATACATACATACATACATACATACATACATACATACATACATACATACATACATACATACATACATACATACATACATACATACATACATACATACATACATACATACATACATACATACATACATACATACATACATACATACATACATACATACATACATACATACATACATACATACATACATACATACATACATACATACATACATACATACATACATACATACATACATACATACATACATACATACATACATACATACATACATACATACATACATACATACATACATACATACATACATACATACATACATACATACATACATACATACATACATACATACATACATACATACATACATACATACATACATACATACATACATACATACATACATACATACATACATACATACATACATACATACATACATACATACATACATACATACATACATACATACATACATACATACATACATACATACATACATACATACATACATACATACATACATACATACATACATACATACATACATACATACATACATACATACATACATACATACATACATACATACATACATACATACATACATACATACATACATACATACATACATACATACATACATACATACATACATACATACATACATACATACATACATACATACATACATACATACATACATACATACATACATACATACATACATACATACATACATACATACATACATACATACATACATACATACATACATACATACATACATACATACATACATACATACATACATACATACATACATACATACATACATACATACATACATACATACATACATACATACATACATACATACATACATACATACATACATACATACATACATACATACATACATACATACATACATACATACATACATACATACATACATACATACATACATACATACATACATACATACATACATACATACATACATACATACATACATACATACATACATACATACATACATACATACATACATACATACATACATACATACATACATACATACATACATACATACATACATACATACATACATACATACATACATACATACATACATACATACATACATACATACATACATACATACATACATACATACATACATACATACATACATACATACATACATACATACATACATACATACATACATACATACATACATACATACATACATACATACATACATACATACATACATACATACATACATACATACATACATACATACATACATACATACATACATACATACATACATACATACATACATACATACATACATACATACATACATACATACATACATACATACATACATACATACATACATACATACATACATACATACATACATACATACATACATACATACATACATACATACATACATACATACATACATACATACATACATACATACATACATACATACATACATACATACATACATACATACATACATACATACATACATACATACATACATACATACATACATACATACATACATACATACATACATACATACATACATGTCTGTGTTTATCATTTCTATTTGGGCCCATCGTATGATGATGTGATGGTAATGGTCCTATGAGGTGAGGATGTTATGGCCAGAAAGATGGGAGAGTTGGATGTTAATTTTTTTTAACAGTAAACGGTAGCGTCCCATGCCAGCTTCATTTTTGCGAAGCTGCGATCAGTAGTGACTGGCTTATTTTGGAGAGTTCTCCTCTCTCAACTCCGCTTTGTGATCAGAGCTGTGAAAGCGGAAAATTAATTAAGAAAAAAACAGTGCCCCAGGCATACCCAGGCACCGCAGATCCACAATGGGGCACGTGCCCCTGTGAAAAGGGTCTGCCAACGCCGATGGTCTCCAACCTTTCAAACCATGTTTGATATGAGAGCAGTCGTGTGTGAAGAAAGTGAGGAAGGGCTGAGGATACAACCCTGTGGCATGCCTGGGTTGAGGATCAGTGGGGCAGATGTGAGGTTCTCTATCTAGAGGAAGTCACTGATCCAAGAACAGTCACTCCTCAAATATTTATAGATTTTGTCTCATGCCTACACAGACTATTCAATGCTGCTGAACATCCTCCACAGTCTGAATAAGTATATGAAATGCATTGCACCTTGTCAACTTCTAAGCTTTTAGCATTTTACACTCCTCACTCCTTTAGGATATACTTTTAAATCTGTCCTTATAATGTACATACTTTTACATCATGTATGGAGGTTTATTTTTATGTCTGTTTATTATATGCGTGACATAATACACATTTGCTGTGTCTTGTACCACTGGAAAGAAATCCATCATTGGTGTAACAATTAATTAATTGTTAATAAAAATTTATTATGTTTCTTCTCATTTTAACAGTCAGTCAGTTTTTGTGTCACGCGATGAAATCTGAAAATACTCACGGGTGCTGTAGTAGGTGAACCGTCCAGGCACGTTTGTCTTGTTATACTGGTAAAATTTAAGCATGCAGAAT